ATTGTGATACACACTTTTATTTTATTAAATAATCTGATGAACTTAAAATAAACAATTAATGCAATCTTTATTCCTTGCCACAATTGATGATTATGAACAAGCAATAAACTCTCCCATTGCCTCTGAGTTTAACTTTCCTAATTTAAATGATTTTCGTACAAGAGAGTTAAATGATTTAATTTCTAAATTTCATCAAAGACTTTATGAAAAAGTTACAGAAGGAGGGTGTGAGGTTTCTTTTAGCATACAAACAAAACAAATTGGTTTTGAAATGTGGTACTTTTTGTCAGTAATAATTCTTGATAGAAATTTTGTTCAAGAAACATATTTAGTTAATGTATCCAACTTTACACGAATAACAAGTGACTTAATTTTGAAAATCACAACGGAGATATTTCCATCACTTCATAGAGATACTTTTGTATCAATTCATGAACCAAAAACTGTAAATACAGTTATGAAATTTCATGATGATAGATATGTAGTTATTGACAATTGTAACATTTTTGCTGCAATCAACTTTACACTATATCATAACCTTTCATCATTTTTTAAAGAACTTTTTGGTTTTGCTAAACAAATAAACAACCAAATAAATTCTTCTAAACAAAAATCACTTCTTCTTAAAGGAATAGGAAATGAAAAAATATTTAGCAAGGAAAGTCATGCTATTAAAAGGCTTAGATTTACTAATCCACAACTATCATTTAGATTCATTGAATGGTGTATTTTAAATTATTCTGAAATTACTCATCACAGTCAAATTCAAAATGATGAACTTTTTGAACAAATGAAATTAGTATTTAACCAAGTTAAACCAATATACGATATTATTAATGTTCTTGATGATACAGTTTATTTGGATGATTATATATCCCAATTAGATATTCTTATAAATACACAAATAGAAACAACATATAATGATGAACTATCAAAAGAATTAGTTGAATGTTTTAATAAAGCACGTAAAATATGGATTTCATTAAAAGAAGAAAATAAATCATTTTATGACTGTGTTTTATTCTTCTCTCCATCAAAAAAATGTTGTATAAAAAATCCATTACAATGTTCATCTTTAAAATGGATATTACAAGTTGTTAGCAAAGATGAATTTATGGCATATTATAATGAGCCAATAACACAAACAGATAGTTTATCATATTGGAAACATCAAGTAAATTATACTAATTTAAGAATATATTCTAGAAATTTTATTGGAATTAAAGTTCATTCAGGTTTACTTAATCAACAGGATAAACAAGAATTTATTAAACTTTATAAGAGAGCTATTAAAAAAAATAACTCAAAACTTATTATTGCTCAATTGTTTGTTATAAGGCAAAATGCTTTAGAATTACTTCGTATACTTAAAAATCATGAAACATCAACCCAAAGAAGAAAAATAGCTGATTCTAATAACACAGATGATAATAATCAAATAAATGACTTAAATCATAAAATAAAAGAAGAAAACCAACCAATTAAAGAAGAAGTAAACGCTTTACCACCTCAAAATTCAATAGATGAACAAACTACTTTGTTCTATCCACATGAAAATGATAATAATCTTTATAGTTTTAGACAAATTAATGGACAAGAAGGTAATGGTGTTGTTTTTGGAGAAAATGAAACACAACCAAATCAAATAACACACCCAAATAATTCAATCGAATATCTTGACCTTGACATAGAAGAACAACAACCAAAGTCAATACTTCCAAGGAATATATTTTTTAATTAAATTTATTATAATTTAATTAAAATTTATTACTTTCATTTACTCAAAAAAATAAACAAAATATCTTAAAATATAATAATTAAATATGAAAAGTGATAATAGGATGGAAAAACAAGTAATTTTTGCAAGTTTGGTTCATAATTATCAAGAACTTTATGAAACACCATTTTTCAATGAAATTGTTGATATGCCCCCTATGAGTCAACTTCAAGAAGTTTTAGTTCAAAATATTATCACTAAATTTTTAAAATACTTTAAGGAACAAGCAACACATATCATATTATTCGAAATGATAAGTCAAGTAATAGATGATTTTGCATATTGTTTATTCAGTGCTAAATCAATAAGAAATAAAAAGAAAGAAGAATTATATTTATCGTTAGAAACTGAAGAAAAAAGTTTATCTATAATAAGCGAATTATTAGAAGCATTAGACATTCACCATCAAATTCTTATTTTCACAAATAAATTTATTCAACCAAGAGTTAATATTTCATCAAATATATCATTTGTATATTGCATTAATATTAATGTATTTGATTGTATTGACTCTACTTGTAATAGTAATTTTTCTTTTTATTGGGACTTATTAAAGATTTGTCAAAGGAAAATCAAAGAAAGTCAACTTCCTTTTGAAGATATAGAAATTAGATTTTTCAATGATGAAAATTTAAGTCTCATTGATAACATCGTTTCAGTACTAAAGAAACAGCCTAATCTTTCACCAGAAGAAAAACTATTCATTTTAATTTCTGAAAAATTAACATTTCTTAAGAGACTATCAACAGTTTCTACTGCAACCTGTTTTACAGATGTATGTTCTATAGTAAACAACTCATTGTTTCAAATTGATGTAACTCATTACATCCAAGGACTACCTTTTATTGCACAAACTGCATTATCTAATCTAATCAATAGTTTAAAACTAATGTTTTGTCGTTATTTAAAACTTGAAAATCCCTTAGTTGCACTTATTAATAAAACTCAAAATAAAAATTTCAGTTTGTTCTCCTCTTCTATTCATAATCAATGTAGTGGAGTTTTAGAATCAAAACGCATTTCTCCTTACTATTTGGCAGATTCATTTAATCATAACTCCGATATAGAAACTGATATTAAATGGATTTCACATATTCATTCAACAGAAGATATAATAAAAAATTTTTGGTTAGTAAGAAGAAATAGTGCTTTGTTGATTGATATATTACAACTTTCAGAAAAAGGTAAAACCAAATCTGATGAAATGATTAGTGAAAATGAACAAGAAAATGAAGGGTTAGATCTTATGAAAAGTGAAGAAAGTGTTGTCCCAGACATCTCAAATTCAATTAAATATAAAAATTCAATCACTAAAGTCGATTCAATCACTGGTCATCAAAATCTATCTAAGAACAACAAAAACGAAAAATTAAAAATAACTGATTTTACAAAACAAAATGACTCAACAGATAAAATTACAACTAATCCAGAAACAAAAGACAGCGATGTTCTATCTAACCAAATCAATAACAAAAATAATCAAATTTTGACATCTTCAAAAGTGGAAAATGCTTCATTACAAAAACTTCAAAAATTAAATCTCACTCAAAATAAATACCAAAGTCAAAATTTAACTAACTCCGAATTTATACCATACATATCAATTATTCAAGAAGAGGCATCATCTGTTAGTATCCCTACATTTTACTTAATGGACTATTCAAGTACATATAACTCTTATTTACTTTTTATAAATTATTATACAAAAAAAGGAACTTTAAGACAATTGTTTATTGAACAAATTAAGTCAGTTGATAATGTTGATAAAAAAATCTTTGACTATATTCACTGTTATACAAAAAAACCAACTATTGTCTCTTTATCATCTACTAATTGTTTTTACCCAAAATATATTAATAATACAATTTTTATTCCTTCTAAATCAGTAATTACAATAGTAGATTGTCAATGTGAAATAACATTTAATTCAGTAAAAACATTGATCAAAGAATTAAGTTTAAAAAAAGAAACCAAAGGTTTTATTTCCTCTGTATTAATTCAATTTGCTAAAACACCAAAATTATCTTTTATTGATGGGATAAAAATATTAAAAAACCATTTATTACCAATAGCAAAATTTTTTGATGAAAAATACAAGTCAATTATCTGTGAATTATATTTTGAATTACATCCAATTTTCAATAAATCATGTGCTTTAAATAAAGTAAAATCTCTTGGAGAATTAACAGATATGTTAGCAGATATTGTAGAATGTTGTGATAATTCGAGATCAAATACTAATTTGCATTCAATTAAATATGAAGAAATTCTCAAAGAAACCCAAGAAGCAAAAAGTCTTATTAAGAACATCATATCAAAATACTATAAACCAACAACACCAACACTATTGGCAAGAGCAACATTTTTTGAACCAATGTATAAAAAAATGAGATTGTTTTCACAAGAAGCAATCAACACAATTTTAAATAATTTAAAAGAACATTGTGGAAAAGAAGTCGATGAATATTTACAAGAACCATCTCCATCTTCTCAGGAATGTCATTGTTGGTGGATAAATCACAGATCTCAGTATCCAAAATTATATGAAGAATCAAGGCAAACAGAAAGTATTATTTTTGGTCAAACTTTTGAAAAAAATACCGATGACATTATGTTTGGAAATGTTGATGGTGAAAATAATACATATCCTGTAATCTTTAACTTGTTAAATTCATCCTTTATTTCCGAAAAAAGAAACGAAATTAAAACAATTCAAAACCAAACAAGAAAAATACCAAACGATGATGGCGAGAATAGCATTGATGAATGGACTTCTCGAATTGATTTTTCATTTCTTGAACATCAAAAGAAACATAATTCAACAACTAAACAACAAGAAATGATTCAGAACGATGGATTGACACAATTAATGAGTGGTAGTTCTTCTGAAGTGGATGGACCAGAAGAAGAAAAAATTTTAGAAAAGAACATCCAAGAAGCAAGGGTATTAAATGAAAAAAATCGAGCAGCTAAATCACCTGTTATTGTGATTGATGTTGATGAGCCAAAACCTTAGTTATTTATAAATAAATTTATTTGAGCGTCAATGGTTATGAATAATTGCATTATTAAAATTATGAAAGAAAAATTATATGAATAAAAAATGAAATTAGAGTTACATAAAATTTTACTTCTTTTATGAAAAATTTGTTATTAATTATAATATAATTATAGTTTAATATAAAAAAAAAAGAAAGAAAAAACTAATTAATACAAAAAACAAATGTCGGAGAAGGATTCAACAATTAAACTATTACTCATTGGAGAAAGTGGAGTTGGGAAAAGTTCACTTTTACTTAGATTTTCTGAAGATGCTTTCAACCCAATGTACATTACGACTGTAGGTATTGATTTCAGAGTTAAAAATATTGAGTTAGATAATAAGAAATTAAAGTTACAAATATGGGATACGGCTGGACAAGAACGATTTAGAACTATTGTATCAAGTTATTATAGAGGAGTTATGGGAATTGTTTTAGTATATGATATTACTTCAAGAGAGTCTTTTAACAGTTTGTTTTAATATTTTAATTAAAATGAGATATGTATGAAATGATGTTTAATGATTAGACATTGAATATTGGATGAGAAACATTGAAGCTAATGCAGACCAAAATGTTAATAAAATTCTTGTTGGAAATAAGTGTGATGCTGAAGATAAAAGAGTTGTTACAAGTGAAGAAGGACAACAAATGGCTAATAAATTAGGAATTCCATTCTTAGAAACATCTGCCAAAAATTCATTAAAAGTTGATGACTGTTTTATTTCATTAGCACGTGATGTTATTCAAAGAATTGGTGAATCATCTCAAAGTGCACAACCAGGAATTGTTGACCCAACCCAACAAACCCAACCAACTGAATCAACTGGATGTTGTTAATCACATTTCCTTCTTCTTCCTTCTTGTTTTTTTAAAAAATGTATTATAACAAAAGAATAATTAAATTATAACTTTTTATTTAATCATTAGACTTTGACTAAAATTCTTCATAATAAAAATTAAAAGTTTTAGTTAATACAATAGTTCTATGAAGATAAAATTTTGAGTATTATATTTCAAGATAAAATTCTTCACAACAAAGTGATAAAAAAAAAAAAGAATAAAAAGTAATTAATTAAGTATTAATAGATTTTTCATCTATTCTTCCTAGTTTAGAGGAGATTAATCCCATCCCTTCGCTTATTAAAAAAGAGTAATCTCTTTGTTTAACCTATCATTTAGGTTTGTCTTGGAAAATGAGAAAATCATTTATTTGCTTTATTTTTCTTATTAATGTCTTTCAATTCTGCTTATTTCTTCTTTTTAACATTTTGTTTGTTTTCTGCCTTAATTTTAAACATTTTCTTTTTCCTTTATTTTATGAATAGGAGAAGGAATCATTTTATTACTACTGTATTACTTTGACTAATCTTCTTTTTAGTCTTACTTTGACTAATCTTCTCTTAGTCATACCCACACTTCAGTAGATTCTTATATTACATCCATGTAATATTCTATCATAATATCTTGCTGCACCCTTTGCAGCATTCCCTAATACATTCCTAATTCAAAAACACTGTCATAACCAGATAATAACTGGGAGAGTCGAAGTATGAATTTGTACTAGGGTTTATGTGTGGTGTTTCAGAAGTGCCATCTTCGATCTTCAAAAACTAAAGAAGAGTTTAAAGAAAAAACAAAAGATTGGGAGGAAAAAGACATTAAGGCTATAGAAGAAGAAATCAAAAACAAAATTAAAGAAATGAATGATAGATGTAAAATTGTAAGAATAATAAATGAAACAGAAAGTATAAAGAAAGTACAAGAAGAAACAAAAAATAAAGAAGAAAAGATAGAAGAAGAAAAAGAAAAAGAAGAAATACTTGCTCTGAAAAATCAAATTACTGAATTAAAAGAAAAACTTAAAGAATTAAGTATGAAAAGAATGGAAGAAGAACAAGCCATCTCAGAAGAAATGATGAGAAAAGCAAAGGAAAGAGTTAGGAAAGAGTTTGAAGAAGAAATTGCAGAAATGAAAACACAAAATAAAAAGATTCAAACGAATTACGAAGAAATGAAGAATGACAATGAAAAATTAGAAGAAGAAAACTTAAAACTACAAGGAAAAATAAATGAGATAGAAGGAAAGAAAATCACAGAAGTAAATAATAAAGAAGAAAAAATCCGAAGCATCCAAGCTAATAAAAAGAAAATTGAAAAAGAAAAAGAAGAAATGAAAGAAGAAATTGAAAAGTTGAAAAAGAGAAACAAAACGCTAGAACAAAATGCAAACACACTAGAAAAGAAAATTGAAATGATAGAGGAAAATACTAAAGGATTAAAGAAAGAAATAAGAGATAAAGAAAAACAAATCTCTGAAATTCAACAAGCAGCAATAAAAACCAAGAAATTGCAGAAATAACAAGAGAAGAATTAGATAACACACAAAAAGAAAATGAGACACAAAAACAAATAATATCAAAACAACAAGATGATATTGAAAATTTTATCTCACAGAAGGAACTAGAGAAGAAGAAAACTATGACACTTGTGATAAATACACAACCAGTACTGAGGAAAGCAACATCAGGAACGATGGAGATGAACGAAACTACTCCTATGAAAAAGACAGTAGTGGAAATCGAAGAGGAAAGCAAAGCACTGATTGTCAAAAAACAAGAGATGACAGTCAGACAAGAAATACAACAAAAGAAAGAAATAAAATTTTAATTGAAGTGATGTATTGTTTTGCAATTAATTGGTTAAACAAGAAATTATATAAGAAATTAAGAAAGGAACAAATTGAAAATATAATAAAAATGATAAACATCAATGTCAATAATGAAAAAGAATATATTAATTATATTAAAATATCACATAAAATAAAAGAAAGCACTAAACAATACATTGAAGTGAAAGTAAATGATATAATAGAAGGAAGAGTAGAGTGTGATTCAATAATAAAAACATCATATTAAAGAATAACTCTACAGAAATTGATGAAGAATACCTTAACACTCTCATCAATAAAGTAAAAGAAATGAAAGTAGAAAAATGTACAAATATTAATTACTACTTTCAAAGAAAAGAAGCTGACCGATTAATAATGGAAATTAATAATAGATGGATAATGTCAAGAAGCAGAATATAGAATCTGCAAGACGATATGAATATTTCAATGGTTATGCACCTCTATCTCCAAAATAAAATAATAGGAGATAAATTTGATGAAATAAAAGAAATCCTAAATAAAATAAATAGACTAGAAGATTTGGTCAATGAAATTGTACAGAATAAAGTGCAACATGAAATTAAAAGAATATGATAAAGAAGCAATAGAAAGAATAAAATACATAAAATATATGATGACAATGAATAAAGAATTAAATTTAATAAAAATGAAATAATCAGAATCAATACAAATAAAATCATTTTTGATTCTAACAAGAAAATTAGAATAAAGAAGAAACAACAAATGAAATATACAAAAATAACGATATTACTTTAGAATAATGAAAATCGTTATATGAAACACAGGTGATATTAAATAAAGGTAATTGGAAAATAAAACAAAACACCTCGTGGAATGAAAGATATAGAAATTATGATAATGTCATAATAACATTAAATGAATTAAATTTAAGTATAATGAGAATAAGTAACTGGAAAGCACCAGGAATAGACACTGTATATAGGTATTATTGGAAAAGAATGTCATCATCAAGAGAAATCATTCTCAATATCTTCAATGAATGGTTAAACTTCCCTGAAAACATCCCATTAGATATGGTAAGTGGAAGAACTTTATTAATCCACAATTTGATATGAATAATGTCAATAATTATCGTCTTATCAGTTGTACAAATGTAATTATGAAAGTATTTACCTCCATATTAAAAGAAAAGATTCACAGAAGACTTAACATGAATTGTGAATCATTTAAAATCAGTAGCAACCAATTGGGATGTAAATTGCAATCTTTAGCTGCTAAAGAAGGAATAATAAATAGTTATATGATAAAGCAGCAGAAAGAAGAGAAATACCCAAAATATGTTGAGTCATATTATGACATTAAGAAAGCATATGACACAGTCAACCACGAATGGGTTATTGAATCATTAAAGTATTTTAATTATGATGGAGTCATCATTGACATTATTGAAAGTATGCTGAATAGATGGAAGATATTCATCGGCTATAAATTTAATGAATATCTAGGTAGTATTAAATTAAATAGAGGAATTTTACAAGGTGATTCCTTATCAAATCTACTCTTCATCATACAGATGAATGTAATTTCTCAAATCATCGAAGAGAAATTCCCAAAAGCAAATCACACATTATATATGGATGATTTGAGAATAATGACGCAAAGTAGTGAAGAAATGGGAATAATCCACTGTGAAATTAAAGAAATAATAAGTTACATATTGAAATGAATGAGAAAAAGTCGGGATTGGTATTAAAAAATATTAAAGAAATACCAGATGGAATGCAAAACATCCCCGTAATTGAAGGTGAGGACTTGTATAAATATTTAGGAATATGGCAGTCCGATGAAATTGATGACACCTTCAATTGTAAAACCATCAAAGAAAAAATGAATCAGAAGATGGAAGAAATAAACAGTGATGAAAGTAGTAATAGAAGATATATTACAAGAATAAACACTGAAGTAATCAATATCTTCAGATATTCAGCATCAGTTGTGAATTGGAAAGTCACTTAGATAAAATTGATTTGGAGATAAGAAAATACTTAAGAAAGGCAAAATACAATGGTGAAACTCTAAAGATAGGTTGTATGTCATTATAGAAGAAATGAATGATTAATAAATATAAGGGACGAATATGTTATCGAATTAGTAAGAACATGAATGTATTACTGTACCAGAGAATGTGAAATAGGAAATAACATATTAGATAGATGGTACAATAAGAAGGGAATATGGAATAGAATTAAAAACATTAATTCATAAAATAAATGAAACAAAAATAGAAGAAATAATAAATGAATTTATTGAAAAGAAAAAAGAAAAAGAAGTAGTAGTAGAAATAAAAAAATTATTGACAAATACATCAAAATATGGAAGTGTCATCAAATAAGTGATATTTTAGAAGATGGTTTGAGTCAAAATGAGTAGATAAAACTACTACAGTGAAAGCATGGAAGTCAATCAATATTAAAAAGAATGCATTTCTACAATTAACTAAAATGCAAGATGGAGCAATATTTTGTGGGTATAGAAAATCAAAAATAATGAAAAATGAAAGAATGAAATACTCAACACTTTGTAAAGACAATATAGCTACAGTACAACACATTCTACTATCTTGTATTTATCATAAAAAATCACAAATGGAAAAACATGACAATATTAGCATTATAATATTGATTAATAAGAAAATACACAGGAAATAAACAATATAAAAAACCTCCATATGAAACAGTGTTCCAATATAAAGACATCACAATGATATGGAACAAACAAATAATGCATAAAAGTGATGGACAATACCACAAAATACCAGATATATATGTATTAGATAAAAAGAACAAAACTAGTCTAATATTTGATATAACTATTGTGGCTGATCACAATATTAATGGAGCCTATTTGAAGAAAAGAAATATGTATAAAGAATTAAAGAATATTCTAATGAAAATAGAAAAATTAAAAGATGTCAAAATAATTCCAGTAGTAATTTCAATTAATGGATTAATAAATAACTCAAGTGTTAAATTAATTAAAGAATTAAAAATTGATATTGACATCGAGAAAGAAGTAAAAAACCTTGTAATAAAAAACATGATGGATGTCATGGAATACTGCAGAGATCACAACCAAACATACTCCATAGAGTTGCTAGAAGAAGATGAAGACGAATGGATGGGATTAGTCTCTCCTGAGCCAGGAAG